AATTTCCCGTATTTAAAATATTGTCAAAGTGGTCCTTAAACTTATTCAATATGTCAACCGGATCGGTCAGAATATTGTTATTATCATCTCTAATTCCAGACGTTACGGGCCCTACATATTTACGTGATCTGTTTATACCTTTGTACATGTCTCTTACGTTATTTTCGATTCTATTAGTTTCGATTTCAATTATTTTATTTTTAAGATACTCCCTTTTTTTATTTTTGAGCAATTTTGTCGTTTCGTTCTTTGAGATTCGGAAGTATTCCAGATTGTCTTCGCTAGGATTATTTAGAGCTTTTAATTTAGCGGCTTTTCTTTTTTCACATATGTTTAAGCAATCTTCATCAAACCACGGTTTGTTATTCTTATTTTCCTTTTTTCCTAGACACGAGTTACCGACCGCTTTAATATTATCCCTGATCTCTATCCATAACTTGTCAATATCCTCGTGGTCCTCGTCAGGAAGCTCTAAAGCTTCAAACCTATTCTTAACATCTAGTTCGAATTGGTTTCTAATTGATAGATTTTTTAATTTTTCCAAATTAAAATTCTCAAAATCGAAACGGTTTTCTTTTCTCTTTTTTATATTAAGTTTTTGTCGAAGTTTCGCGATTACTAATTCATGATCCGACCTACATTCTGCTCCGCGATAAGACCGTACATTAATTATACTGCTTTGCCAGCTATGTTGTATCAAGACATGATCGATTTGATTTCGTATTTGTGAATCCGGTGATGTCCAAGTATATTTATGAATATCCTTGTGTTTAAACTTCGTACTTTTAATTATCAGGTTTTTCGAGATGGCAAAGTTTATCAGACGGATCCCATTATCATTACTATATTCGTGCAAACTATCTTTACCAATCGTCGGAATATAAACTTCTTCCCTTCCTACCTTTGCGTTCGCGTCACCTACAATTATTTTCATGTAGTATCGCGGTAGTTTATCATAAACCCATTCGAGTTTATCTTAAAATTCACTTTTGACTTCATCGTCACTGTCTTCGGTCGGACAATGTATGTTTATTAATGCGATTTTAAACCAACGTCCCTGAAATGTAGCTACCGAAATTCTATCACTAAAGAATTGTACGTCCCTCAAAGCGGATAGTAATCTACTCCTAATTAGAAACCCGGTACCCAAACAATGATTCCCGCTTCCTCCGTACCAAATAGTGTACTTTCCTTCCCTCATCGAGCCCTCCCCTGGCCAGCGAACCTCTTGCAGAGCCACGACATCCAAATTGTACCCATTTACCTCATTCGCGACCGATTTTAGCCCCCCTGCTGTGTTTAAACTCCTTACGTTCCACGTACCAATATTTAAATCTCTATTTTTCAACTTGCGCCATGAATCCCCTAAAGCAGTCCCCACCCGGAGACCCGAACGGGGGACTTGTTTACCTCCGGATAATGAGCGTTTTACCTTAGGGAGATCCATGACTTTTTGTGGTGTTTGGTGAACTAAAGATATGTGAGTAGGGCGTTCAATCCTACGTCACACCCTCTAGCAAGTCTGGTGGGCCCCTACCTCCAGCAAGTCTGGAGGTCCCCTCCCTCCAGCAAGTCTGGAGGGCCCCTCTCATTGTTGGTCAGCGAGTCCATCGGACTTAGCCGGGAGGAACTTCCAAGGAATTTCCACCGACCATCCCCACATCCGCCAGCCGTGGGACGCTCCCCATACGCGGTAATGAGCCCGCGCGAGGCTGATCCCACTTATACCTGAAAAAATACTCCTATGAGAAAAACCAGCAAGAGGAGTTTGACAGAAATTAGTTCAGCAACTAATTCTTTTAATCCAGTAATTTTGTTATCCGTCTGGATTGGGTGATCTCCAATTTTCATTCTCCTAACTGCTTCTATAACATTGTTTGTTGTAATTGTTACCTATTGCATCTCAGATGCATATTGGAAATTAAGCATTTTTTTCTGTTATCAAAGGGGTGTTCTCTTGGTGAGTCGTTGATTTTTCTTGTAGGATTCAATGTTGTCAGTGTACTTATTCATTGTTTTCATCTATTAACCAAGATTCCAATGAAACTGGTATTCAATGTGCTTAAACAGATGATTCTGTTGCCTCTGCAGAGCAACTGTTTCACTTTATCTACACAATCTGCTTGCAAATACTGCTAGTTTTTGTTTTTGATTATCCAGATACAGCGTCAATCTATCAATCAATTAATGAAGAGAAGAATAGTTGGGGTGGTCAGTCAAAAAAGAAGGTAAAAATAAAGATAATATTTATTTTTACATATGCCGACGTTGCGACCTGAAGTTCAGGGCTAAGAAAATAACCAGATAACAAGGTATGAGAAACATAAGTAGTGATGATAATTAATGGCTTATTAATTATTTTCTTAGCCCTGATGAAGGCCTGAACTTCAGGTCGAAACGTCGGCATATGTAAAAATAAATATTATCATTTATTTTTGCCTTCTTTTTTGACTGACCACCCCAACTATTCTTCTCTTCATTATCCACGACAGTCAACCATTTACCAATTATGTATCAATCAATTAATTTTTCATATTTGTGCCCAAGTTTTGCTCTATGATTTTGTCTATTTTTACTTTCACTTATCTATATATGAAATATATATATATATAGTAAGGGACAGTACTGCGATTGTGAAAATTTTTGAATCTGAGTTTTCAACGGAAATACATGTTTTGAGGTCTCCTAAGTCCAAATAACCAAGTCCCGCAAAATGGAGTCCGCAAGTCTGTCTGTGTGTGTATATATATGAGTGTTATCAGTTTAGCTCAAAAACGAAAAGTCGTATGAAAGTAAAATGGCATATTTAATGTTTGTGTATACCTCAGATGTTTCAACAACTTTTTCGTCAAAATCGGCTAACTGGAAGTAACACTTTATATAATCGATGTTAACACATTTTTTTCGATAACGTCTCTAATGATTTTGATCAAACTTAGTATATTAATGTATTATTAAGTTGTTTTTAATATTATTTAGGTCTTATCCCCATTGATGTCACTTTAAATGCCCAATGTTCATATGCGTCTTCCTCTAAAGTACCTTTAATATGGTTTATTTTAAATAATTAACTATCTTTCATTATTAAGAGTTACAAAAAAAAGGCTAAATATAACTTTTGAAAGAATTTAATAATTGAATAAAGGAGAAAAAAATAAAAATGCTTATCCAAGTCGAAAATGAATCTCCGGAAATAATAGTCAGAAGGTATGCGTATAATATATCGTTGGAAAGTGGAGAATTTTAGAAAAAAAAAACCATACCTATTATAGAAAGTTGTAGAAGGTAACTTTACTGAGAGTGGCAAAAAAATTATAAATAATAATTTTTGGAAGCTAATATTATTTAACGTAAATCCCATGTTTTCAAGGAAATTAAAATGAAATTTGCTAATGAAATGTAAACTTTTAAAATATTTTTAAGTTTGGAAAAAGTATTTAAAATCCACCTAATCAAGGCAATGACATTGTTAAAAAAATTATTTCATTGTACTTGTGTGAAAAAAGAAGGGATATATATAATCCTTTCATGGATGTATAAAGCATATGTTTATAACCTTAAATACATTTACTGTAGCTTAATAATTCTAGATCTGATGTTATATTTAAATAATTAGATATCTATCGTCCATTTATTCCAAAAAATCATTTATTTTTTTAGAAAATTAAATAAATGAATAATTTGATGAATTTTCCTTTTGTGATATTTCCAACAGTATCCACTTAGTGTGACAACTTTTGACCTGTCTATGGCAGACAATGCAAATCTCTTAATTCCATTTTAGTAAACTTTGCAATGGAAAATAACAGTTATACAATCCATAATCAATCAGTAATATAATAAATAGGACTTTTGTTATTTTAATGGTATTTATGATTTGTTAGCTGTAAGCTTTTAGCTTTAGCTCGATTAAAAATACAATTGAAAAATTTTATAATAGTCCAATATGGCCAGAAAATGATTTCTATTAAAAGTTAAACGGTAATTGAAATTGTTGTGTTGTTTTGCGAGCACCAGATTTTTATCTTTGTTTTCACTTTTGTAGTTTACGGATTATTTGGAATGATGACAATTTATCCCAAAAGGTTTTAATTTTCTTTTAAAGTCTTTTTTCCACTGTGAAGATTTTTTTTGTTTAGTTTTTTAGATAGAAAATAAACTTTATTCTGGGACACAAGGTCCCTTATGAATAACAATTATGAACAAAAAAATAAAAAGTTCCCCTATAACCCATGGAAATTTATTTTTGTCTTTTATTTATACACCGAGCTCCAATATAACTAACTATCTTGGTAAAAATATTGATACCACATAAAATAAAGTAATATATAAAAGAGAAAACATATCATTAGCATTATTCATTTTTTGTTAACTGGGATTGTTACAAATGATCTATTTTAAGTTCTGAAAAGGGAACACTATATTTTAGTTAACTTAGCTAAGCATGAGGGGATTAAAAATATGTTGTATGGTCAAATCAATATAGTCAATAGCATTAGCTCCACATTTACTTCATGGTTTCTCATCACTGGAATTCATTGGTTTAATGAAGTCCAAAATAAATAAGACAGCTGCTTTGGAGAGCCTAAATTTATCAAAAAAATTTTCTTTCAGCCAATGGAAAAAATGATTCACTTGAGGACAAAATATTTTTTTTTTTCCATCATTGAATGTGCAAGTAATTTTTTTGGGAGGGGGGAAGGTAAATAAAAATCGATAACGCACAAATCATTGCACATTGTCAAAAATTATGTGTTGTATGATAAATTACAAAGAAAAAAACTACTGTATGTAATGGTTAGGCATGAAAATATATTTTTGAAACAATTTTATACTCAAAGTAGGTTGAAAGTTGTTTTGCGAGCATCAGGTTTAAAAAATTTATATTTATGCTTGTGTGTACATGGTGAACTTTTCAATAACTTAGCTGTTGTTCTTATTTTATGTTATGCAAATTTATTTGAAAAAAAAGTTTCTGAATATTTGGATTTCTGTTTTAGTGATAACTCCGAGACAATTTATGTTCTCAAAATTTATGATGAACTCAATAACAAAGAATACAATTTGAAGTTACCTGGTGATAGGAATGTAGCTCAAGTGAAAGCTGACATTTTTACATTGACTGACATACCTGCAAGGCATCAAATTTGGTGTGGATGGCCAGAAAACATCACTGATGATTCCAAATTATATGAATTAGATTTAGATCAACCCTTCCACTGTCTTACAGTTCAGAGTAGTAATATTGTAGAAGAAAGCCCTCTGAATAATTCTGTTATTTCTATTTCTAGCACTGATACCCCGCCTTCACCGGTAAGTAATCAGTATACTTTTTCTCTCTCTCTCGCTCATAAAGAGCAGGGTTTTTTTATGTCACTCCTATTAAACCTATTTTTAATGCAATAATTCTTTATATCTAATATAATTATGTATTTTCTAACAAACTATAAAATATCAATTGAAGAGAAGTTGGTTGGGGTGTTCACTCAAAAATACATAGCAAAAATAAATTTTATTTTTATTTTTGCCAATGTTTCGGCCCCAAGTTCAGGCCATCATCAGGTCTAACAAAAGATAAGATAACAATAGGTTTGAGAAACTATTAACAGTAAAAAGAAAATAATAATATGTATTCTTGAAGGAAAAAAAAGTTAGGAATTGAAAATTTTTTTAAAAAAAAGACTGCGTCCTGAATATTTATCACCAATAATATGTATGTGAAAGGTATAGTCTAATAACATGTAAGTAGAATAAACTTAATATAAATATAAAATAATGATAGTTAAATAAGTTAGGAATAGAAAGTAGTGGAAGCAAAATTAGGATATATAACATATAATGGTGACAAAGTTAGGAACTTATGGGGAAAAAAAGAAAAGATTTTAACAGTAACAGAGAGGAACTTATGAAATGAATAATAATGCCAACAAAGTTAGAGGCTCATGAAATAAACATAATGAAATTAGGTAACAAAAGGAATGAAAAAATGAATCAACAAAGAAATGTAATGGAACATTATGAGATAAAAACATAAGTGTTAAACATAGAATAAATGGGATAACGTAGTTGCTAAAATATGATATCTTAGAGTGCTAAAAAAGAAGTGAGATTGACATAGAGTAAAATGTAAAACAGAGAAAAGGGGTATGAAGTTATATAAAGAAAATAATAGACGTAAATAGAAAAATTAAGATATTGTAAAATCTATCAAAACATACTGACTACATAGAATAGAATAACAAAGTTAAAATTACCATACGATGGGGTAACTTTAGGACAGCTGGTAAAATTTAGTTTGTGGTGGATACACTGTGTTGGTTCACAGTGTAAAAACGTGCTTTGTGTAGGCATGTACTGCGCTACTACTTTGCCGAAGTTTGAGAACCCTAGTTCACTACACTCATGCAGTTAGGTTTTATTTATTTCTATTGCTTTTTTCAAAATTCTTGTTTTCATGAAACTTTCGCTTATGCCTCAAGAGTAGTGTGCCGCAAGGTAGTAGCACAATACATGCCTACACAAAGTACGTTTTTGCAGATCATAGGCAGATCTACGGGGGAGGGGGGACTTTCGGGCTGAAGCCCCCCTCTCCAAAATGGTTAAATGTAACTATGTCTATGGTAAAAAATAATCTATGAAAGTATTATTGTTCGCTTTTCTCTTGAATATTTCTCTAAAAAACAAATAAAAATCATCAACTGCCCCTTATGTAAGCAAATCGTGCCAAGCGAAGATAAAAATCATTAATTTGTTCCACTCCCTACTGCCAAGCGATTTATCACGGGAAATGTTTAAATGTAGAAATAAAAGACATTAAGTCCCTAAAAAAAGAAACGACTTGGAAATGCCCCAATTGTGATAAGACCCAAGGAAATAGTTCGCCTACCGAAAGAGGCACAAGCTCGCAGCATACCACTGGAGATGCTGCATTGCAGTTGCTGCTCTCTGCAATCAAAGAGCTTACAACCGAGGTTAAGAATCTGAGAAGTTCCGTTGAAGCTAATGCCTCCGACCTGAAGGATTTGAAATCATCATTGGAAACTTTGGCATCTATCACTTTCGAAAATTCGGAGCAATTAAAGACCATTGAGTCTCTTCTGGAAGCTCAAAACTCTAAAATAGATGGTTTGGTTTTGGAGAATTCGACTCTACAAACACGAGTGTCGGAGCTCGAAATAAAGGTAAACAGATCCGAGCAACAGCACTTGGTTAAAACTGCAGAGATTAGGTGAATTCCAATGGGCCTGATAGTGAGTGTGGGCGGAGCTCTGAGGCTAATATATAATAATAATATAACTTAACTGTTATAACTTTAATATTTCTTTCAATTTTTTTATGTGTATATTGCAGCCAATTTTATTATTATTTTTATTAGTATTATTGCTCATTTCTCACCAGAGTATATTTTTGTTTTCTGTTTGTACGGATCTACTGTTTTTTTTGTTTGATATCTCCATTGATTATAAGATACTATCTGAATTATTTCTTCTATCTATTTTTTCTAGTTTCTACTTGTCAACAGTTTTGCTATCAATTTTTCAGCCTCTATGGTGTATCTCGGATCAATCCAACCAAATTATTTCCATATCTTTCGCCCCTCATACCAATTCACTGTCCCAACCTTCCATCTCTTATGACTAATGTTTTATTATCCTGTCATGTTAACGCACAGTCACTTTTAGCCCACATAGATGAATTCCATGATTTCTTCTTCCACAACTTCTACCACCTAATCGCTGTCTCTGAAACTTGGCTAAAACCCACGATCACATCCTCTCAAATTTCACTCCCTAACTATACCCTACTCCATCACGATAGAGAAAATAGAATCGGAGGTGGAGTAACCATTTTTGTCCATGATAGCCTGAAATCCAAAATCCTTGCTTTGTCTCCTCTCTCCGTCTCCCCACATATCGAATATCTTTTTGCTGAAATATCCACCTCCTCATACTTATTGCTCATTGTCATCTACCAACCTCCTAGAATCCCCTTTGATGAAGCACTCGAGACCATCCTCTACGAACTGAGCCCTTCCTACTCTAACATTGTTCTTTTCAGAGATTTCAATACTAACCTATTATTTCCTTCCTCTGACCAAGCATATTTATCAAACCTCCTCTACTCTCTTAATCTGTATATATTCCCATACAACCCTACCCATCACACCCAATACTCAGACTCTTGGTTCAATCTTTGGATTATTGACTCTCCTGATAAACTCCTCGCCTCATCGTAGCATCTGGTTCCTTTTTTGTCTGCTCATGATCTCAGACAGGTCTCCTATAACCTTCCTGTTCCTCTATTCTGTCCCTGATCTATATCTTATCTCCTATCACCCGAAATTTTGATGCTTGATCTTGACGCAATCCAATGGGACTCCATATACTCCTCTAACTCCATTGGTTTTATGGTAGAAACCTTAACCAATCCACTGCACATTATTCTAGACCGTCTTGCTCCTCTTAAAGTCAGGACAATCAAGTACCCTCCAGCTCCTTGGTTAACACCTGCGATAAAAAATTGTATCAAAACGAAGAGACGCAGCAAGACGAAAGTTTAAGCGCACTCGACTCCCCGAATACTACATGAATTTCAAGCTGCTTCGAAACAGTACGCAATCTATGATATGCTGTGCCAAATCCCACTACTACCAACAATCCTTATCCAGCACTCCAAACTCCAAAGCAATTTGGGCAATCCTCCGTAAATTATCCTTAAGCAAACCTACCCAAACCCAGACTACCTCTATTTCAGCTGACATACTCAACACTCATTTTGTCTCCTGTTCATCCTATCCCTCTGTCCAAGCACCAGCTCCACCCTCTTTAATCCCAATAATTTTTTCTTTTCGAATATTACCCCTAACGACCTCCTTAAATCCACTTGCAAATCCCAAACCAAAGATTTCAGACCAAATAATATCCCAGTTAAATTAATTAAATCCTCTCTTCCATCCATTTTCCCAATCCTTTATCATATCTATAATTTTTCACTACAAAGTTCCACTTTTCCCAGGACCTGTAAAACTACCCTTGTTCGTCCACTGAACAAAATCTCTAATCCCACAACCCCTAATGATTTCTGTCCAATTTCTCTGTTATCTAACCTTTCCAAACCTTTAGAACGAATAGTACGATTCCAACGATCCCAATATCTTGAAAAAAATAACCATTTGAACTGCTTCGAGTCTGGTTTTAGACCTGACTACTCCACTCATACCGCCCTTATTAAAATCTCCCAAGATCCTACACAGCCTTAGACCAACAGAAACTCACCATCCTGATCCTTCTAGATTTCTCTAAAGCGGTTCAGTTGACCATAATATACTCCTATCCAAACTTAAAAATATTTCCTTACCATCTAGTGCGTGGGAGTGGTTCCATTCGTTCCCAGTACGTTGTAGTTCCTAATAACCCTCAATCAATGTCTCCTCTACCTCTGTCCAGAGGCGTCCCACAAGGTTCCTCATTATCCCCCACCCTCTTTTCCATCTGCATCAATGACCTCCCTTCCTCTATCATACACTGTCAATATCACCTATACGCCGATGACGTCCAAATTTATCTTTCCTTCAACTCGACAGATTCCTCTAATGTCACCCTGAAACTGCAACAAGACATCAACAGACTAGACACATGGGCGAGTCTTAATAAGCTGACATTAAATACTGAAAAGACAAAAGCCATCCTGATCGGGTCCCCCTCACTCCTCAAATCCATTTCAGCAACTCCTAATCTTCTTCTGAGCAACTCAATTATTTCCTTCCATTCCACCGTTAAAAATCTTGGCATTACCCTCGATCAAACCCTCTCCTGGAAATATCTCAAATTTCCTGCCGAACTATATCCACCCTGAAACAGTTTAACCATCTACGTTATCTTCTTCCTTTCAAAACCCATCAACTCCTGGTCTCCTCTCTCGTTTTCCTCCACTTCTTCTATGGCTGCATGGTGTATGGTGGACTCGGGAGAACTCAAAGCTATACTTAAACATCTTATGAATTGTTCAATCCGCTTTATCTTCGGAATCTCAAGAGATACGCATATTACCCAGTTTTACACAGAGTTGAAGTGGCTCTATCCGTCCTACCTCCATCAATATTTCCTTGCTATCTTCCTATACCAGAACATTAGAACACGGTGACCCGCCTATATTCTACAGATTCTACAATTCAAACGCTCCTTTCAATCCTATCACACCAGATCCTGTGCGTCCGACCTCTATCCTCCTCACCAAACTGCTGCGTTTGATAAATCCTTTTTAATTCAAGTTGTCTCCCTCTGGAACTCTATACTCTCAGATATTCGACACGC